CAGTTAAATATGCAAAGAAATCCATATGAATTTGCAAAACGGCCCATCTAGCTGTAAGATTCTGGGAGAGGATGAATTGTATCCACCCTTTCACAGCTATAACCTCAGTATCTGGGTATGGTATACAGCAGGTGTGATAAATGTAGGCTGAATGAATGAACAGATGAATAGACAATAGTTTCCTTATTTCTAATAATGAATGATGCCCAAAGACAGATTTCAATATTCTTATAGATTTATGTTGTAGTCCCTTGCTCTTCGTTGTTACAAGCCCTTCAAAAATAAGAAACTGAAAATGACAAAATTGATTTGAAGCAGCTGGGAAGTACTGTCAACATAATCTCACATCGATAAGGTCTGAAAATGTTTCCTTTTTCTCAAGAAAGCCTCACCATGTGATGCAGACTGTCTCATTTGCTCACAAGCTTTCAAACCCCTAGTTCTACTATATTCAAATTCCTCATTTCCCTTCAACCTAGTGACCACCATTAGCAGCCCCCTGGATTTTTCACTGCCCTTATGTTTTTGCCTAAAGCTTTAACTGATTATATTCTTTGATTTCCTTACCCTGTTGTAGAGTCCCTTTTAACTACAGATCTTAAAAGCGACACTAGCTGCTTTTTGTTCCTTGGGGTTTTGTTGTTTTTTTTTTTTTTTTCCTCTTCAGGATCATTATATTCTGTTGTGCCTCTTATTATCGTGTCTTTTAGGGTCTCCTAACCTTGTACACTCTTGGGCTTTATTTAATAGTGAGCTCCCTCCTCTACTCTCCACACTAAACCATGCTCATTAGGTTTCTTAATCCTCTATAATTTGCTTTCATGAAATCTTATACCTTTGAGTTGCTGTGTTCTCTGAGCCCATTTCCTTAGTACAGCTATTCCAAGCAACCCAGAATCAACAAGCACTAAACATAAGCTTATTCACTTTCTCAGCCAACATGACTCTACAGAAAAGAAAAAAAAACTTTGTTTTGAATGTTTATGGACCATGAAACTATACCATTTTAACTTGGTATTTCATTTTCTCATCCAAACATTGCCTGAAAGGTTAACACCACAGATTTAGACTCCGGGCAGTCCTTAACGTATAATTATTAACTTATAGGCTTCAGGTTCTTCTTGGTCAGAAAACTATCCTATCTTAACAGAACAGAAATAATAATACCCTGATGTTAGTGACTAGTAAATTCCAACTATATGTTTGCCTTATACTGAGGATTCAGGAGAAGAGAAAAACATCTTTTTTCAGTTATTCTCCAAGAGCTCAGCTTTTCCAAATGGGTTGTTTTTAAAAGACATGTGCATGTTCCTGAAATATGACTATACACTCAACTCTGCTCTTTCCAGCAGCTCATCCTCTGCTTTCTCTCCAATGCTACTCATCACTCGCACCTTTGCCAATGGATATGTACAGAAGGACAAAGACAGCATATATTTTGTTTTTGTTTTTAACTTCTTTTGGTTAAATTTAAAAAAAAAGACAACAATTTGGTGGTGAACTGAAAGAGTTAATGAAGTTTCCAAAGGTGCCTCGCTTATTCGAGCAAAGTTTACACTTCAGCCCTGTGCATGTTAAATTGTGATCCTCCCCATCCAGATGACAGAAAGCAAAGCCAGTAATTTCTTTATTTAATTGGTTTGCATCCACACACTGACCTCCAGGGCTCTGTTTACATAGCCTATCATGCAATATGCTCCACAGTTCCCTGCTTCTTTCCAAAGCATGTTTCTCCTGAGATTTGATATATAGCTTTCATGTTTAATCACTACATTAGACTCAATGCTCTGCTTCCTCCAGCATCAACTAACTTCCCTTCTTGGGAGGTGGGAGAAGAGCACAGCTTCTTGCTGCTTCTGAGCATAAAAGGAAGTCTGTTTTACTCTATTAATAAAACCACCAGCTACACACGAATGCAGGCAAGCAACAGTAATACATCAACTAGGAAACCGTATTAAATTGGAAACCTTAAAACTGCGTTAGAAAGAAGGAAGCCTGATTGCTCTCAATCGGCAAAGTCAAAGGCTTGACATGATTGAGTTATAAACCAAGAAGAACAAACTTTAATCAGAATATAACTCAGTACATAGAGGACACAGCTAGAGGGCAGCTAAAGTGTTAATCAAATTAATCTCGAGGACAGAACATTCCTGGGGTTCTCGGATCAGAATTAACTCAGCGCCACTACCTTCTGGTTGAAGATTTTCTTAACCTCACCACAAAAAAAATATTTGAATCCTTTCAGTAACTCAAGACAATGACATGAAATGTATGTATTTTACTTTAAAATATTTCAACCAAAGAAAGAAAAATGAAATAAATGTAGCAAATTATTAACAATAGTAAAATCTAGATGATGGATATGTGGGTGTCCATTATACCATACTCTCTATTTTTATATACAGTTGAAATTTTTCATTATAAAATTCTTTGAATCTTTAAAAAACACAGGTTGTTTGTGGATGCTTTTGTAGAAAAAAGCTGATATAATTTTGATGAGAAAAAAATTCAAATCTCTCTAGGCTGATCATTCAACTGACATTCTGCCACCCCTAGCACTGCATGTGCTGACAGTGAAAACTTCCCTTCCCTCCTCATGAACCTCACTCCACAGTCAGAAACTCAGCTACACAAATTATAAATGTGCAGTACACCCTGCATAAGTTGGGTTCCTCACTGGGGAGGGGAGGTATAGACACATGTATATACATGTAACATTTGACTTTGAAATCCTTTCCTTTATGGCTAGTCATTGACCATACTATTTATTTTTTAAGTGTTTTTGTTTTGTTTTGTTTTGCCTTGGTAAGATTGGCATCTTCCTTCATTTACAAAATGAGTGTGTCAGGACCACTCTTACAGCTGTATACAACATAAAGCAGAGCTAGGTCACTTTCTGTATCTGATGAACAATAGAGAATCTGAACCTATTAAAGTCATGCATTTAATTGTTCCAATATGCTATCTTATTTCTAACCAAAATTTGCATGAAGGAGCATGCCAAAGAATACAGCTCTAGCTTCCTTTGCCATGATTCCCTCATTTGATACTAAGCTAAAAGAGCTTATAAGAAAACATAATTACCTGTTTCTTAATTTGAAACCATCTGAATTCTTTCCATAACATATTTAAATTCAAAATTAAAAGAATAAATAAACTTTTAATCAGTATTTCCCATAAGAGTTTTCAGAGTACAGAACTTTGTAGTTTTCAAAGACATGCAGATGTTGTCTGTGATAAACCTTTTTTTAAAAATTAGGAGTTGGAAAAAGTAAGAATCATGAACAAAATCTTTGGTCACAAGAGTGATAGATGTGTGCCTGTCCAGATGTTATAACTATCACTATAGGAATTTAGCAGCATACTTTAATTTGGATTTGAAAATTCAACATAAATTTTCTGACTTTGACAATAGCTGCCTAATATTTCAACTTTGTACACTATGTCCAGGTTTTACCTTCAAAACGAACATAGTGGACTTTTTCATTTTTGAGAACTGAGTTCCAGATCCTGTACCCTAAAATCAGTTTCTGACTTGATGCTCAGGGTATTAAATCAGATCACAACAAAGGAGGCCCTTAATATAACACTTGGTGACTGACTGACCAAAAAGACAGTCCCACTTTCAGGTTAAAATTCAGTCTCTATCAATTCTATTCATTTATTTTTTTATTATACTTAAAGATTTTAATATTTAAAAAATGACAAAGACTTTTCACCTTATTTTGAGTCACCTCCTATGAATCAATAAAAAGTCAAATCACTGGTATAGTGCCACCATGCCTTGAGTCTCCACGTAGTCAATACTGTAAACTGGAAATGCTGACCTTATGCTATCATTGTCAGATGTGACTCAGAAGCCCAGGTACACAAAGAATGGAAAGATTTCTGGTGAAACTGTTAACTCAAATGTACCAACTTCCTATTAAAGAGTTTCACCAAGTTGGAGACGTTCATAAAGGTATACAATAAAAGAAAGACAAAGCTTTTACAGAAAAAGAGCAGGTTGGCTCCTTAACACCACTACCAAAAAGAATGCGTAGTCCTTAGTTCCTCTGTGAGCATAATAAACAAAACCTTTTTTTAAAAAGTTAAAACATAATGAATTCAAACCCGAGTCAGAATGTTACTTTTGAATTCAATAAATTCTATGTTTCTCTGAAAATTATTTTCTCCTGGAAAAATAAAAAATAATCAATGTTTATTCATCTATTAAAAGTTCAGTAAAGGGCATAATTCCTTTGTACTGAATAAGAGGAAGTTTTTGCGCTTTAATTATAAATACCATTAGAAACTCTAGAGCACATAAATCTCAGAAAATGACATAAAGCCTCAGTCAAACCTAAGGATTATATGGCTACATCCATGCTTAATGAAAAGAAAACATCTAATGAGGCTGATATGCCACTGTTTGTAAGAATGTAAATTTTGTCTTGATAGATACAAAGTAATGGCTTAAGGTGACCTTAGTTTTCCATTACCCACCCCCACAACAAAATGAATTTTTTTAAAAAAACTAACAAATCATAAAGAAATTTCCATTTCTATTGGCTAAAACTCTTTATAGTTTGCTGTATTAGTGCTTGCTTTCACAGCACATATACTATCGTTTGCTGGATTAAATGTATTTAATACCCACATCTGATGACAAGTCACTTGCACATAATCTTCAAATTATTCAGGACTGCTTTGCCTACTGTGAGAATAATATTGTATTCTGAACCATAAGTATGTACAACCCCCCACTTCTGCTCTTAAAATGAAACTCTGCAAATATAGAGCATTTAATGCTTATTGCAGAACTATCAAGAATCTCAAAGTGAACATCTCAAGATATGATCCCAAGCAGCCAATCGCTCTGCTTTGAGGTAGGGTTCATATTTTGAAAAGAGGCTGGCTAGTCTGTTTAAAATCAAAATGGCTCTTGAGCTGATGAGTTGCTCCTCAGAGAATAATGTAAATAAAAAATACTCAGAATAACATCACTAATGTAAACATACCTGAACCGGAGTCAAATTTGGTTTCTGACCTGCAAAAAGAAAGAAATGTTTTACAAGATAAAACCTGCATATTAAAGAACAACTGGTACTTTATGAGAGGGGATGTAATGGCTATAGATTTCAGTTCAATGGCCAACAAGGAAAATAGCTTTTTAAAATGCAAGTGCTTATCAATTTTAACCATTTTAAACGTATGCATTATCCTAGGTCCCCTGAACATGCACATAGCTGCAGAGACAGCACAGTATGAAAAAGATACTAACTTTTTAACTTGTTTTAAGAGGACAAATTGTGTTTTAAAAAAAAGAGAGGCAGATTAACTTGTTTCTGTAATATAATAAAAGCAATAAAAACCTGCAAATTTAAATTTATCCTCTTTACTTATTATTAAAGATTTCCAATTATTCAACACCAAGTACTTTTTCACTAAGTTCTTCACTGAGTAAATGAACCTGGTAACCCCGTACATTTAATAAGAGGGAGAAAAAAAACTGAGCCCTTGTGGGAACATTATGTTTCAGATATAGGTTAATACTGGTTGTAAATTCAGAAGCCTTTGAAGCTCTCGGTTCGGCTGTGGGAAAACTTCTGTTGGGTAATTACTCCCAAGATGCTGCTGATGTGCTGTCAAGCAGAATTAACCCTATGACTAGGGCTGTCTACACAAGCTACTATAAGACAGCATTGTCTATACCTAGCTCTCAAACCAATTAGTGGGCATGCTCCAGTCGGATTTATATCACACATTAACAATCAATAGTATATATGTTCACAGCTGCGACAGCAAGATACAAGAACCCACCAGCGGGAGTCCTGTTAAGGGATGTTACATTGACAGAGATTTTTTTTTTTCTCCTGGGGAAATGTAGTTAACTAAGTGGGAAAGGAGATTTCTTTGAAATTATGCCAGGGTACCAAAGCACTTTTGGAAGCGGTGGCTTTCTCTACCTAAATTAGTTTCAAGAGAAGTCATCAAAGGGGAGAGCGGGAGAGGACTAAGCACAAAGCAGCTTTCTTTGTCATAAAAATCCATTTTCTCAAGTATTCGCAAGTAAGGTTTCACCTGACGCTTGGAGTCAATCATCGTAAAAACAAAAAAGTGTTGTTGCAGCCGTGGTTGTCCATAACCAGCAGTGCGATCCAGGTCCACTCTCCCAAGCCCTGGCCTGACCACATTCCTCATCTCATGATGAGGAATCATCATGATTCCTTAGATGGCCCCGACCGCTATTTCGGGTACAAACCATTTTTGCTTTTTGTCCTCTCTCCTGTTCTGGAAAACCTTGCCTCACGCCCTCTTCTTTGTTCCTAGCGCACAACTGTGAAGGGCACTGGCCCTGCACCCTCCTGGTCCCCTTGCCCATCGTCCCCACTACACCTTCCTAACCTCTGCAGCCACGGTGCTTACTGGCACCTGCTGCTTGTACCCAACAACGGTCTGTTGAGGGGAACTTCCACCAACACACACACACACACACACACACACACTCACCCTTCTCACCTAGATAGGAGGTGTTTTTCTTTCTGTCTGAGCTTTTCTCCATTTATGTGCTAAAATGCATCTCTCATCTGCCCTGAAACCAGGCTGGATGAATGACTCCTTCTCTCTGCTGTATCTTTCTTCTTCTTTTTTTTTTTTTTTAAGTTTATTGATTTATTTCGAGAGAAAGAGTGAGCAAGAACAGGGAAGGGGCAGAGAGAGGGGAAGAGAGAGAATCCCAAGCAGGTTCTGTGCTGTCAACGCAGAGCCCCATGCAGGGCTCGAACTCATGAACTGTGAGAGCGTGACCTGAGCCAAGATCTAGAGTCTGACACTTAAAATGGGCCAAGCCACCCAGACACCCTTCTCTTATATTTTCAATATGGAGGTTTCTGCAAGTTCCTCCTCCCTTCTGAAGAGGAGTGCTCAGGAATTAAATATCCTCCTTCAAGTAGGTGCCTTATTCTTGTTATTTGCTTTCTTCTTGTGCTTACAATCAAGTCTATGGAAAGGATAAACTATATCCGATGCTGTATGTTTTCTTCTCCTGACCTCCCAACATATTCACTGTCTGAGCCACCATGATCTGTCCTTGCTAAGGTTTATCAGTGGCTTCTTATTGCTAAACCAAAAGCCTTCTTATCATCCCTATTTTACTAAACCTCTCTTCAATTAACAAGCAATATTACCTGAATGTTGCACTGGGACCTCAAATCACCTATGCACTAAGCTTAATTCAATTTATTTTCCCTCAAATATAATTCTCTGCTATATTCCCTATCAATGAAATTGGACATCATGATATTGTCCTAGTTTTCTTCTGTACCCCCAAGTATCAAATTAGTCACCAAGACCTGTTGATTTCACTACCTTCCCCTTCTCTCTGTTCTTACTCTTACCATATTTGGGCTTATCTGTGACTCAGGATCTCATAACCAGAAACCTCACCCACTCATCTAACCCGTCACCCCATCAGCTACCAGATGTTTCCAGACGTGAAAAAGGATACATGACTTGAACTGACAAATTGCGGGATCATGACCTGAGCCCAAATCAAGAGTTAAACTCCTAACCAACTGAGCTACCCAGGTGCCCCTGTTGTCCCCTTAAAGCATAGAAAATTTTCAGAAATTCCTACTTATAAGCCTAAGACTTCCTTTACTCTAAAAGTAATTCATAGGCCTTCCTGACACCAGAGGCTAGTAAGAGTAGCAGTGAATATCTGTGCCCTTCTTTCAGCTACAGAAACCTAATATACTTCCTCTGCTTGGAACACCCCTCTTTCCCCTTAGTATCCTTTAACCCCTCTTCTTACTTAAATTCGAAAGCCCTTACCACATGTTAGCTTAATTATCAATTCTTTGAAGAAGAGTGGCCAGACTACATTAAATTCCTTTCGTTTATACCTGTATAAACACCAATTGCTCCTTCTTTGCACTCATCAGAGCTATAATTCTACACTCATCCATGAGATTATCTGACCATATTAAAAGAGTTCAACAATTATGGCAGACACTATTTGTTCACCATCTAACAGCCAGTCTTCCTTTTCCCTTAAAACAGAATTTCGGTTTTTGAAGAGTGCTAAAGATGCTTCCACCCCAGGAATAAATCATAATTAGGCTCTGCCAAATGTGGCAACCCTACTGTCCTTTGTCAGGGACTGGTCCCAGGACAGGCATGTGACCCAGTTCTGAGCAGTGAGAGGTACAGGGAGGTCTTCCAAAACTTCTTGGAAAGGTTTTTCTCCATAAGAAGGACAGGGGTGATTTAGGGAGCAGGTCCTTTTCTCTCTCTCTTTCTCCCTCTCTGTTTCCTGCCTTTGAAGTTACTGTATAAGGATATGACACCTGGAACGAGACTGCTATCACGGTCTTATAGCCATGAGGGGAAGGCCAAGAGATCACAGAAATGCCAACACAGAACTTTGACATCATTCCAGTTCCAGAACTGCCTTTCTCTTCTAGAGTCCTTGTTGAGTTAGTCTGTCATTGTTAGGCCACTTTTACTTGGGTATTTCTGTTACTTCTCATATTCTGATATTGTTGCTAAAGCAATACCAGGTTATGATCTATCTACTTTTGTGTATAAAACATAGGCTTCTACGTTATAATTTGATGATAATGATGCTATAAATACAAAATACATAAAAATATACAGAAAGGAAAAAATAGATTTAAACTGACAAATATAGGGGCACCTGGGTGGCTCAGTCAGTTAAGCATTGAACTCTTGGTTTTGGCTCAGGACATGATCTCACAGCTTCGTGGGTTCATGTCCCACATTGGGCTCTATGCTGACAGTGCAGAGCCTGTGTGGGATTCTCCCTCTCTCCTCTCTCTCTCTCCCTCCCCAACTCACACTATCTCTGTCTCTCTCAAAATAAATAAATAAACTTTAAAATAACTGAAGGAACTGGAAATATTTTAGAGGGAAGGAAGACTAATGCAAAATAATATAAATGATCTATTTACACAACATAGAGAAGAAATCTTATTTGTCCTTTAAAGACAAATGAAACATTTTCTAACTAACTAGTTACAAAATGCACTTGACAGCATATTGCAAGAGGAATCAAGAGACCTGGAATCTAGTTCAGAAACTAGCACAAGTCATTTAACTTGTGAGCTCCATTTTCCTCATTAATAAAATGAGGCATTTGCAAGATATCAGTGTTGCTCCACACAAACTATTCCTTGGGGAGGTAGCTGTCTACAGTTTTCTGTAGTTTCCAAGAATAAAGAAAAGGAGATGGGAACAGAACAGAGGAAGAATGTGAGGTGATAAAATTTTGCTTCTATAGAATTCAAGCCTACAGATGAATCAGACTGAAAGAACAGACAATTCTTAAGGCCATTTTTGGCACCCAGTTTACACAACTGCTCCCCAGACCATATTGATAACTGCCTTCTTTAAATTCTAGGATCATTTCTGGTCTGTATCATTTACAGCACTTAATCATACATTTCTTTGAAAATAATTTGTTTCTGGTGTATATTTATAAATCTCGGGAGAATAAAACCTTTAAACTAAAGATACCTTAACTGTTGAAAATAAACTCAAAACACTAAAGAAAAACAGTATTAAAGAGACCAGAGCATACGTTCTTCATATTATGAACTGTCCTCCCCAAATTCTTATGTTGAAGTTCTAATCCCTGGTCATGTGACTGTATTTGAAAATAGAGGGGTTTTTTTTTTTTTGTTTGTTTTTTACTTTAATGTTTTTATTTATTTCTGAGAGAGAGACAGCATGAACAGGGGAGGGTCAGAGAGAGAGAGAGACACAGAACCCAAAACAGGCTCCAGGCTCTGAGCTGGCAGTCAGCACAGAGCCCGACGCGGGGCTCGAACCCACCAACCGTGAGATCATGACCTGAGCCAAAGTCGGCCGCTTAACCGACTGAGCCACCGAGGCTACAGAAAATAGGGTTTTTAAAGAGGTAATTAAGTTAAAATGAAGTCATTCAAGTGGACCCTACTCCAGTATGACTGGTGTCCTACTGAGAAAAGAGAGTCAGGACATAGGCACACATGGAGGGAAGACCGG